GCTTGGGCTTTCCCGTGTCTTTTCCAGCTGACTTCAGAAAATGTGGGCTTGTTAATGGTTTGACTTAAAGGTCCTATATTAAAATTGACTCTTGGGAGCTTTGAGCTGAGGTAGAACGTAGTTACCTCCTCAAAAACACACCCAGAGTTGTGTTTTGTTTCATTCACACATGTTTGAGTAATCCTTTTATTATTAATCTACATCTCCAAAGCTCAAAATGCTCTTTTCCAAACCTTATGATGTCATGTAGTGTTAGTTTTCAAGTTAACAACTCCTTTAACTTTTTGTTCAGTAAATATTGGCAATTCCTAGCCTGATTCATCAGCCGGTTTCACTTTGTAGAAACCATCTGACCTCGCAGTGTTAGAATTCGTTCACTCGATGGTAAGCAGGTGCTTTTTATCATTTAACCAATCACTGCTATTTGGTCGTCACATATGTAACGGGGTTAACCAGTATATTAAGCTTTTCCCAAATCCTGTAGGAAGAAGGTCAATAACATCTTTCCCTTTGATAAAATTCACCAAACATACTCTTTATTCCAGTAATCGGCTCTTTGCTGATTGGCTGGTGCCCGAACTCACACTTCCAGGGTTTTTGAGAACCGTCTAGTGTATTCCGATTCCTGACCTAGTCGCTGGAGAGAAATGAAATTGAACAGAGGCACTAGGTGGCACGAGCCTGGCTAGGCAATTCCAGGGCTGAAATTATAATGACCAGTTTTGTTTTGTTTCATTCACATATGTTTAACACACAAATCCTGGATTCTTCTCTCAAGTTGTATACTGCTCCACTTTATGTCATGTGGGAATACAGGAAGTTTTTAAACTCTGGATGAACTGTGGATGTTTTGAGCCCTGGAATTGCCCATCTCTACTACCAAACTACCACTACATGACATCACAAGGTGGCGCAGAGCATTTTGAGCTTTGTAGATGTAGACAGACAAACATGTGAATGAAACAAAACACAACTCCAGGTATGTTTTTGAAGAGGTAACAACATTCTAACATGACTTAAAGATCTCATGAGTCAATTTTGTGTAATATAGGACCTTAAACACCTCCCTCAGCTATTGTAAAGCCTGTTTCACATCACAGTATACTGTAGGTAGCTGCTCTGTGCTGTGTGTGGTATTGGGAGTAACTGTCAGTATTTCTCCTAAACTGAAGATGCCCAGTGGCTGTGTGCACATGAGGGCTTGTGTCAGACCACCCAGGATCACTGCTGGTGGGCCCATAGGGATCAGTGTATATGTGGATATTAGTTATGCGTGCACACGGTTCTGAAAAGCACCACACGACTCTTAATCATGTGCAACTGACAGAGAAGACAGCGTGGCTCAAACAAACCCAAAATTGCGAGAATGTTTATGAGATTAACGTGAAATGATGTGTTTCCATCCACCGCTGTAATTTCACCACAGATAAGTCATTATTATCAAGTCTTAACTCAATATTTGTTCGTTCGATTGATTTGTAACATGCGTCCAATATCAACACAAAGCTTTGGGGGTCCTGGGTTTGCTCACTCAACTTAATGATGTAAGTTTTTCAAAATGCAAGATAAGCGTTTTCCAATTTTGCTACCGTGTAATTTAACTATTATGAGGCTTGCTGTAAAAATATAGACTACTACAGATCTGCAAGCTCACCATGGTGATTAGTATGACTGTTGTGTATTTGCAAATTAGATTTGATAGAGTCATTTAATACAAAATATGACAGATACTTCTTAAAATGCTTCAATTTCTGACACCTTTTTTTAAATATATTTTGACAAGATTGGACTTGAGTGACAACTGATGTTTATTTTCTTAGTGTTTTTAATGTAGTTTTGTGGAGTGTGAAAAGAGGAGTGGGCTGTAGGAGTTTTTATTTATTTTTCCTGTTATGTAAAATTTCAAAATTGGGGGAAAAAAATCTAAAAATGATTTTAAATTTCAACTTACATTAGTTTGGAGACCACACAAACAAATGGAACAAGTGATTCATTTGTAAAGTTCTGGTTGTTTTTTGTATTCCAATTAAAATAGTTTTTATTAGCTTTGTTAACAATTGAAACATTTGTACATACACTATAATCTTAAAGGCACAGGGACAAGTTGCAGAGTTTTTTCACCATGATTCATTTATTTACAACTTTCAGAGACCAATGTAGAGTTTTGCCGTAACTGTAACGCTAACAACAACTAGCATGCTAACTCCCACTTCCTGATTGCAGAGTTGTTTTAACCCCAGGACTTGTTAAATACATTATATCTGTAGTGGGACAAGACTTTAAGGTCTTTAATAAGCATTATACATATATCATATTTTTCAGACTATAAGACGCACTTAAAATCCTTTAATTTTCTCAAAAATTGACAGTGTGCTTTATAGTCTGGTGTGCTTTATGTATTAATTCTGGTTGTGCTTAATGACCTTGAACCAATTTTATGCAGTACACGGTGCTCAAAAATCTGTCAAAATGTTTTAGTACGACTTTGGTAAACTACGAAGCTGCACCACTTGATGGATTGACAGAGCACTATGGCTTCTGTAGTCAGGAGCCTAGCAGAGTAAAGCCCAATTTAAGGTCCTTAGTCCTGACAGAAGCTGACAGCATCAACGCACAAGGAGCGACCTGTTTTTTCAGCGCTTATTTTTTATGCAAATTAGCCATTTAGTTTTAAGTTTTGTTTCTGTAAAACGTAAACAAATGTGCACAAAGCTGCATTAAACACATTATTACTGAATGTATATTTGAGTCCTCCTTGTAGAAAAAATAAAAAACATACTTAAATTATCCACCCACATTGACATTCATCATTCATAATCCACATTCACCGAGACAGGGAGGCAACACCGGGCGAATTACGCCACGATCTGCCAATAGCTCGTGGATGTTTGGACTAAGGGATCAGTCTCAAGTGTTGTCCGTTTGTTTTGCTTAATGTGCCTTATAATCCGGTGCACTTTATGTATGAAAATAGATGAGAGAATTCTACATTATTGATATTGCGCCTTATAATCTGGTGCGCCTTATAGTCCGAAAAATACGATACATACATCATTTTTATTCTAGTTCCAGTTACTTTTTTGTATTGGAGTTTAAATTCATGGAGTTGAATCATTAATCAGTGTTTTTTTTTTTTTTTTTCAAATTCAAAATCATAAATCTCCAAATCTACAATAAAACACAAATCGTCTGTACTTACGTAAATTAATGTAATGTCCCAACAGCTGTTTTACAACATCTCTAATGTAAACGTACAACCTACTGATTTCACTTTGATTTGTCAACTTGTAATTTTCGCTGTTTTTGAACTTTTTGGGCCTAAAGACATTTCAGTGAGATGACGGGAGCGCACCTGTCTGTGAGATGAAAGCCTCTAAGTTATATCAAAGAGATTCCTGCTCTTAATGTCAGTATAGGGGAAGGCCACAGAGGGGGCAGTGTGTAAAAACAACTTCTGCCAGATTCTCACAAGTCACTCTTTAAACTTTTCACCTGTGGAAATTAAAGTACACGAAGGAAAAAAAGTTTACAAAAGTGGACATTTGTTTATTTTTGTTTGATGAGTATCTGTTAGAAGTCAGATTTATCTTGCTTTGGCCTTCAAAAAGCGGTGAAGATTTGATCAGTGTCAGAACAGATGGATAAAGCCATGCACATGTGGTAGGTTTGAGCAAATGAACTGAAATCACAATTTTAAAGGTGTTGTTTACTGTCTTAAAAATGTAAAAAACAGAACTAGTTCATTTTAAACAGTTTGCAGTGGTCCAAAGTTAAAGTCCTCCCTTACCTTATGCAGTCCAGGGATTCTAATTATTCACAGCAATGAGTTTACAAGTGCATTTCACAACTTTCAGAGACTAGTTTTGTAGTGGCAAACAATTGGCATGCTAACACACACCGCCTGATTTTCAATTATCATTATTTATCACAATAAAATGCTTTATATTTAGTTATAGCAAACAGTGGACATATTTTGGTCTCTTATAAAGTTTATCTGTACTGGAGCAAGATAGATTTTGCTACATACATTAAAAAAAATTCAGTTATTAGAAATAGGAATTGAATTATGGACAAACTAGCGAAATAAAAACACCAGGATCATATAGAGCGAGTTAATACTTGATTGTATTCACTGTACTTGATAGCCTTGTAGCTGACTTCTACAGACATGTTCAATAATATGTGGTTGACTGCTTACCTGCTCACACACTGAGCAGTTTTTGAAACTTTTTTAGCTAGGTTTTTAACGTCATATCATGGAATATTACCCAACTAAGAAGTGCAGCATGTGCAGCTCAGAGGACACAAGTAAGGGGCTGCTAGATTTTGTGAAATGAGCCGTTTGTTTTTCCTGTATCCATGAGGATCATGCAATAGGCTATGTAAGGAGCTAGCTATGGACATTTGAGATGCTGCAGGTTTTTTACACAGTATGTGGCAGCAAATGTAGCAGAAGACCTTCCAGAGGAAACACTTTGAGGGAATGGACCATTACATCACCAACCAAAACACCAGAGCAAAGTAAGGAGGACTTTCCTGTTGTGTTCACCTGGCGCCCCCTGGAGGCTGCTGTGATGCTGCAGGACAGAGAGGAGGGACACCTTTGGCTCTTCTTCTCAAACTGCCCAGACACAGATCTGCTGACCCTCCCTGACCAGTCCTTCTGTTAAACTGCACTGAGACCTTTGACTGAGACACAAAAATGACTAAAACATGCAGTGGAAATGTTGCAGCAACATCAACCACAACATTTTGCTGCAGCAAAACTTGAATTTCCCTCGGGATCAATAAAGTATTTCTCTCTCTCTCTCATAAGCGTGCAATACCATGTGTTAGATCAGCATGTATGTAATAATTCTTTCCTCTCTGAAATGTTTGTGTTCTTGGATGTAAACACTGATTAAAAAAAAATAGATGCTGCACATCACACACCCTTTAACCATGTGTTGTTCAGTTCTATACTCTGACTCTTCATGCAGTATTTTGTTTTCTGTTTGCAGATTTAGACGAGTGTGCAACTGGGAGGCACACATGTGGTCCAGAGCAGTCATGTGTAAACACCAGAGGCTCCTTCACCTGCCAGTGTCCCCAGGGTTACCAGAGGAGCGGGGAACACTGCGTGGGTGAGGCATTCCTATATTATTTTTTTTTACTAGTACTGTTATGTACATTTGTATTATTAAGCCTTAATATCTCTTATTATTAATGTTTATATTTTTACTCTTTGTTATTGTTAGCTACTGTGTCCAGATATTTTAACTTGTGAATCTATAAAGTTTGTCTAAGTCTATGTACAGGCAGGGGCAGGGTGCAGGGAGGTGGGTAGAGAGTAGTCATAAAAGTGTACTAAGTTGCTTGCTTGACCAGCCAGTCTCTTCTACTTTCTTTTGTGAAACCAGAAGTTGTAACCAGACAATAAATGGACACAGCTTTCCTGCTGGCTGGGGTGTACAGAATAGAAGTGAATGGGGACGCTTCTGACTCTATTGGCTCTGGCTCTATTTGACTTTACATTGAAATATTGTCACCCCTCTCTCTGAAACTGCTGCTATCAGGCTTCTCATTTTGGTCTTAAAATGTTTATATTAACCCACAGTTTTTATTTAGTTCCTAAATAAATTCTTATTCTTAACAAATAACTCAGCTCCAATCCAGTTATAGATTTGCACCTATAACTGCAAGCCTCTGTGAGCTTCATTTGACTGGAGCCAAACGCTATGGATGACATCACATTTATACAGTCTATGGTGCAGTCCTTTTGAAGATCTAAATGATATAGCTTTGTGGCTTCTCATTACGGGAATAACTTAAAATAACTAAGTAAATGTAACTTATTTCTACTTCAGAGTGCGGTTGGCTGAAGTTGTGACTGACATGTTTGTATTGTGCAGATAAAGACGAGTGCTCTCTCACACATTACTGTATGCACCGCTGTGTGAACGCTCCAGGCTCTTACTACTGCGAGTGCAACGTGGGCTACAAACTGGCCAGCAACAATCACAGCTGTGTGGGTAAGTTACATGACACAGGCTGGATTTAAACAGGTTTGTGCAATGGAGCTCAACGGTGATCACTCAATCTGGTATGGAAGTAAATATTCCATTCTTTTTTCACATAGATATTTCGAAAAAAAATCATGTATTAAGAGATCAAAAACGCTGCAGAAAGTAACCAACAACAACATGCTAACTAATATCCATAACACAGATAGTTTAAAGGTCCTATACAGTGGTCCCTCGTTTATCATGGCGGTTACGTTCTAAAAATAACCCGCAATAGGTGAAATCCGCGAAGTAGTCAGCTTTATATTTTACAATTATATCTGTTCTAAGGCTGTAAAACCCCTCAGCACACACTTTAGACACTTTTCTCACACAGGACAGTTTACCCTTTTTGCATCCTTCTTAAAACGTATCCCTGCTGTCGTCCTTATGTTATTTTCCTCCTTCTTTATGTCACAAACTGAAGATTAATTTATTCTGTAATGAAGCCCTACACCGCAGAGTCCTGCACGGGTCTAATTTTGGAGCCCCGCACCCGCACAGTACAGTACCGCACCTGCCCGTTAACCCGAGATTATATCAAACTTTTGTGCTGCATTCGCCATGGCCTGAACCAAGACTTAACCAGGACTAACCCAGGACTAACCCAGGACTGATTCCAGGACTGAAACAGGAGGACAAAACCAGGACTGAACTAGGACTAAAACAGGAGTGAACCAGGACTAAACCAGAACTGAACCAGGACTCACTGTCGGGATGGGCTTGGGGTGACCGCAGGAGAAAGGACCAGTGTTCTGGCGCAGAGGTTTACTCAGCACTACCTGCCCACGTACCCGCCTGTAAAATTTCAGAATGTTAAAACTCGCCCGTTTCAGTGGGTACTGAACCTGGTGCAGGACTGTGCTACAGTGCTTCTACCTTCCTTCAGCATGTCCAGAATTCCAATTTTTTGTGTGGTTATTATCTTCCTCTGCCTTTTGGGTGCGACCACAGTAGACTTTGTCAGTGCAGTTTCATCAACATCGTGCATTTTGTCGGGGAGAAAACTTCTTCAGAATCACACTGCTAGCAATTGAACATTTATTTAAATTTGGCAGCTGAACACATTCTGTACTGTACAAGAGACACGGCATGGAAGAGATTGATTGACAAAGATCTACAATTCCTTATCCAATGAGGACACAGGGGGAAGAAGACAATCCACGTTCATACACTGTAAAAAAAAAACAAGCAAAACTGCACCAAAAAAATCTGAGAAACACAGAGACTGTGAAAGGTGAACTGCGATATAGCGAGGGATGACTGTACTCCAAATTTACTCTTATGAGGTTTAAGCTGTGTTATAGTGTTGTTACCTGTTCAAAAACATATCTGGAGTTGTGTTTTGTTTCATTCACACAAGTTTGAGTAATTTGCATTAGTAATCTGTCTACATCACCAATGCTCAAAATGCTCTGTTTCATCTTGTGAGTGCTAGATTTCAGGTTAACAGTTACCTTTTACCTTTCAAGGTCCATGGCTCAAATCATCCAAATTATTCTAGCGAAGGTGTATGGAATTTAAAAACACAATGGAAGCACTTCCTGTATTACCACATGACATCACAATGTGGAACAGAGAGAAGAACTCAGTCTAAATATGCAGGATTTGTGTGTTAAACATGTGTGAATGAAACAAACACAACTCCTGGTATGTTTTTGATGAGGAAACAAGATTATAACATAGATCAGATTAAAAGTGCAAACCAGGGTTCAAAGCAAAGTGTGGCATTTTTTTTTTAATTTTTTATCTAAAACAAGTTGAGTTTGAGTTATTTTGAGATGAATTTTTGATTACAACAATCCATATGTGTCCATTCGTAGTTTTGATGCTTTAAAGGACTCACATTACACACATAACCCTGCATATTTAGGCTGAGTTCTTCTCTCAAACAGAAAACACTCTGTTCCACCTTGTGATGTCATGTGTTAATACAGGAAGTGCTCCACTGTGTTTTTAAACTCCATACACCTTCTCTAGAATCATTTGGATACATTTAGCGCAGGTATTGCCAGTCTCTACTAAACAAAAGGTAAAAAGTAGCTGTTAACTTGAAAACTACCACTTCATGACATCACAAGGTGGAACAGAGCATTTTGAGCTTTGGAGATGTAGACAGACTAATTATAAAGGATTACTCAATGTATGTTTGAGCTGAATTAACAGCATTATAACATGGTTTCATGCTCACAATAGACCAATTTGCATAATACAGGACCTTTAAATGAAAATCTACAAATGCAAATAATCATGTACATAAACTTATGACTGGTAGTTACTGTTTGAGGAGAATAATAATCGCCACTGTCTGTATTTGTGTCAGATGTGAATGAGTGCGACGTGCAGAGTCCGTGTCAGCATCACTGTTATAACCTGCTGGGCTCCTTCCTGTGCCAGTGTGAGCAGGGCTTTGAGCTGGCCCACGACTCCGTCTCCTGTCAAGGCAAGTCCCCCCTCACCTGGGCTCTCAACTCATGTTATGTGTGAATGCAGGTGCCAAGTATGTGCTCCACGGCTTGGGTTAGTTTGCACAGACAGTATAAGTGAGAGAGAGAGTGTGTGTTTGTATGTGCGTGTGTGAAGGTCTGTATTCAAACATGCTCCTTTTGTTAATGTGTGTTTGTGCGTGTGTTCATGTGTGTGCGTGTGTGTATGTGTCTGTGCAGACCTGTACTCAAACACTCTCCTCTTAGTAATGTGTGCGTTTTATTTGTGCGTATTTTCTTGAGCAGACATTGACGAGTGCAGTTTTTCCAGCTACATGTGTCAGTACCAGTGCATCAACACAGCGGGGAGCTACTCCTGTGAGTGTCCAGAGGGATACCAGCTCCAAGGAAACAGGCTCTGCCAAGGTAGGACAAGACTAGGTCCAGATCTTCAGATGTAATAATACTTAAATGTGCAGTATGTTTGTATAATTTTCCTCACTTAGGCCTGAAAAGTGTCTGTCTTACATTTATTCTATTTGTATTACTCAACACTGCATCACTGATACTGAAACTGGTATCGAATATATCAGTATTGGAACTGAAAAAGCTAGATTGGTCCATCCCTATAAAGTACTGTGAAAAATATGCATTCTTACTGTAAAGGTGCCTCTCCACTTGCCTGTCAGATTCAGACTGATATCTCTCTGTATTTTCCATACAGATTGATATCAGTCTGGTCTCCAGGCCTTTCATCACGTCTCAAGTCTCGTCAAATTTCAACATCCAAATCAGATTTTTTTTCCAGTGAGGCATGTGAAAGAAAGGAGCTCATTGGTCACTTGTGATTTACAAATAAAATCAACTTTATCTCACCTCACATTACTTTTAAAGCTTTGCTCATTGATTCTGCAGAAATATGCAGTGTTTCAGTTCCCTGTGATATTTTTACCTGTATTTTTACTGACCACGCATGTTCCTAATCCACCTGTCAGTCATGACCAGACTTAGCCAGACTGGCGCCACCTAGTGCTTCCGCTCAGTTTCATTTCTTTCCAGTGACTAGGTCAGGAATCGGAATACACTAGACGGTTTGCAAGAAGCACGGAAATGGTAGACCGCGCACCAGCCAATCAGCAAAGAGCTGTGAAGCCATGACTCAAGCGCTTGCCTGGGTCCCTTTTGTGGTACAGCACAACAGTAAACAAAGCAGTTGAGATGGATGTATGTGATACGAACGTTGCATTTTTTATTGCACCTTTAATTGACAAGTTCACCTCGCAGAAACGACAGTGATCATTATTCACTCTCTGCTTTCTTTGCTGTTGTGCTGGCTGTTGTGTTGAACACCACTGAGCGTTTCGGTGCATTACATCCGTCACCACCAAATAGCTGCGATTGGTTAAATAAAAAAAGTACCCGCCTACAGTCAAGTGAACGAATCCTAATGCTGCGAGGTCAGGTGTTTTCCACTTAGTGAAACCAGCTGATGAATCAGGCTAGACCAGACTCACATCTTTGTAAAGAATTGAAGAAGTGTGTACTCTGGATCCCAGGTAACCTCTCCACAGATCTGACCTTTAACTAGGCAGGGTCACCTCCTTATATTTAATGCCATACTGTTAAATGTTCCAGGAAACACAATAATATCTCCACTGGTGCCTCCAACTGAAATGTTAATTAGTGCACCTTTAAACATGCATGAAACAAAATATTTATGAAGAACCAACCTTATATAATGATTCCAATATTTGTTCAGTCTGTCGTCTTTAATTTGTTTCTCCTAAGTTCCCACTGCCCCTCCTCTCGCCTCCACTTTGAACATGACTGAGATCAGCCCCATCACTCTCTTTAAAGTTCTAATAAAAGCACTTCTAACACAGACACACCGCCAAGGCCAGGCAGCTCAGGCCCAGTGCACTCCTCTTACCCCCTCTGTGAATCCACACGCACTGCTGCCTTCTCTTCGACTGGATTTATTTGAACTCTTTGAAGCTAGATGTTATTTTTCCCCCTCCCCCTTCCCGCTCAGGTGCAGTTTTTATAAGGGCCACTCATGAATCCAGCAGGTTGTGTCACTGCAGTCTTTGGGGATGAATCTGGGCTGCTGTGCCAGAAATAGTCCGTGTGCTTGGGTTTGTGTTTGATGGGGGCTATTTTGGAGTGGGGAGGCCAGAGGGAGGGGTACATGTGGACTTTACGGGGCTTCCCTCTTCTCCAAAACATGCTCCCAAATGTGTGGACCACGACTATCTGCTTATTGTAATCCACTTAAACCAGTATTGTGTGTGTCTCTCGTTGGGGTGGCTTGAGCTTTGATAATCCTTCCTGCTTACTTACTGTCTACAATCTGTCACATAGATTCATTGTATTGTAATGACGGTATTTTGCTTGTCTTCCAATGTACAACCATACCATGTTATTACTCAGAATGAACTCTTGTGACCTTTAAGCCATGTTAGAAAGTGTTACCTCATCAAAAACATACCTGGAGTTGTGTTTTGTTTCATTCACTCGTCTGAGTAATCCTTTATCCTGGTTCAGAATGCTCTGTTCTACCCTGTGATGTCATGAAGCAACAGTTTTCCAGTTACAGCTACTTTTTACTTATAGTTTTGTAGAGAGCCCTTTGTGTATTACCACACGACATCACAAGATGAAATAGTGTTTACAGTTTGAAAGAGGAACTCAGCCTAAATATCCAGGGTTTGTGTGTTAAACATGTGAATGAAACAGCACAACTCCAGGTGTGTTTGTGATGAGGAAACAACGTTATAACATAAAACAGTAATAATTCATATGGGCCTTTAAATGCTACCTGGGTAAGTAGTGAATACATGCTACATACAAATACTTCTCTGTAAATGGTATTGTTTTATTGAATGATGTGAGGCTGCAACTAATGATTATGTTTGTTTACAGTCAATAAACAACAGAGTAGCCGCTGTAAACAGTGGTTATCTGTGTAACACGTGAGCGGAGCTTGATAAATGAGGTTCTTAATACACAACTCACTGCCATATATTTTTATGTATAGCCGTGCACATTATTCATAATTGCCATGTGATTCCAAAGCCATTCTTCGTGCCCTTTACACAGTGATAGCTCCTGGTGGTGACAGAGTGAGTTGGCAGAGGTCCAAACACCACGAGCAGGTCGGGTGGTTCAATAACTCATAATTGTGGGGTAATTGGGATCTGAGTGGGGCAACAGGACTCAGTGATCACAGCTCTCATCCACCACCAGCAGCCTGAAAATTGATTTCAGATGAAGTTCTGTTTTTGTGTCCTTAGGCAAGACATTTCACCCACATTACCTTGTATGAATGTGTGTGCGAGTCGTTGGTGGTGGTCAAAGGGTCCTATTGTGCAGATTGGCAGCCTCGCCTCTGTCTGCCTATAAAGCACAATAACTTGTTATTATTCTAACAGCTTTTCTACAGACATCTGGTCCTGGGTGATGGTGTTAGTGAATTTACTCATGTCACATGACTTCAGTTAAAAACATTTCAATTACACATAGACTAGAATTAACATTAAGTCTGTTTATAAGTGTAACTGTAACAACAGTCACACATGAGCTGTGTCGGAGCAGCAGCTGTTGTTGCACAAATCTCCTCAGATGTTTCTCATAAAGACTGAAGAGAAGACACTGTTTAATGTGCACTCATCTAATCACCAGCTCAATTTGCCTTTGCCAATCCTCAGATATCAATGAGTGTGAGATGGGCACTCACAACTGCCAAGAGGATGAGATGTGCTGGAACTATTATGGAGGCTTTCGCTGTTACCCCAGAAACCCCTGTGAGCCGCCATACACCAAAAGCTCTGAGAAGTGAGTGCTTTTTTTGTTTGTGTATAGTGTTTGTATAGTGTGTGTTTAGTGTGTGTATAGTAGAGCGATCCATAGCCACAGTTTAGTTCTTTAGCTGTAATTGTTTCTCTGTTGCAGTCGCTGTATCTGCCGCTCACCCACTGAGTGTCAGAACCTCCCTCCCTCCATCGTTTACAAATACATGAGTATCCAGGCGGACCGCACTGTGCCTGCAGACATCTTCCAGATTCAGGCCACCAACATGTATGCCAACACTCACAACACCTTCAGGATCAAAGCGGGCAACGAGGGAGGAGAGTTCTTCCTCAGGGTGAGTGGAGCCGGGCGCTGGCATCACAATGATGTTGGTGGACATGACATTTTCATATATTTAACCTCTCACACTGTCCCTTCCACTTTTATTAAGACTCATACTGAATGAGTGATACTTATGCATGAGAACACAGTCATAGGGCAAACACTATTACCTTGTGTATCAAGATGAATTTTTGTGATATTTGTATAGAATAAGATGATGTAAAAGATGTAAACAGGAGTATAGCAAGTCTATTTTATTTCTGAAAAAAAGAACTGAGGAAATTACTTGTGTTATTTATTGTTAGATACAAGTGCTACCACTGAACTGTGAGGTTGGACATCTGATGAGAAAATAATAAATCAGAAATTATACAAATATCGTAGATAAAATGACCCACCCATACACTAAATGCATACTTTTAAAACAGATGTTTAAAAGTGGCACTTTGTAATTTACAACTATACTATATATAGAAACAAGGACAGTGCAGCTTCCTATGGACATATGGTGTGGCCGAGACTGTTATTACAGTTAAAAATCAATCACAATCACTTAATTTTTACACTTAATTATTATGTCATGGCAAAAATCTATACTCCATTGATTTTTTTTTCTGCATTCATGCATTCATAAATGCATCTGGTGTGTGTTATTAGTGCAGCTTAGTTTACGTTTCACCTTCATTGGTACATTTAAGATTAGAGATGGACTGATATGTGTTTTTTCATGGCTGATGTTGATAATTACTTAGACTCCAGAGCCGCCGATGGCCAGCAATCTTTACTGATATGTTTGGGCTATGTTGGGCCAATTGTGGTCATTTTCCCTGAAGGATCTAACTTGAATTTTTGTATTACCCTCTTTAGATTAAAGTGTTCAGCTTTAAAGCTTTATGCAAATATTTTTTATCTTCATTTAAGCAGCTGATTGGTTTAAACAAAATATCAGCCTCGGATGGAGATTTAAGGCCAATATGCTAAAAAGTGCAAATATCGACCAACCAATTAATCGGCCAACCGATATAGCTCTATTTAAGATTATTGTCATGTAATTCAATAAGACTTTTGGGAATTCCAAATGGACTAGTTTATGAATGCGATATAATTATCAAACAAAGTAGTCACAACATTTTGTATAAATGAATGACACAGCTAGACTACAAAATTATATTCTATGTATTATTTTAGCCTCCAATACACTCAACCAAAACCACATGTAGGGAAACGGTAACTGCAGTTCTCTGACAGTTCTAAGTGTGTACATGCTTTCATTGCTCATATGTTTATCTTTGATTTGTTTGCAGAGGTCCAGTAACGTGAGCGCCATGTTAGTGATGACCAAGCCACTGTCCGGTCCCAGGGAGTGTGTGGTGGACCTGGAGATGGTCACGCATCACATGACCATGAACTACAAGGCCAGCTCCCTGCTCCGGCTCACTATTATTGTGGGCCCGTACTCCTTCTGAGCTCTCTTCTTCTACAAAACAGCAAAAGCCTGTAACGAAGCCAGAGCTAACTTACTGTACATATGTTTACATTGTGAGCAACAGTGATGTCATGTGTTCATAAGATTACTTTTCCTGACAGTCAAAAGCTTAAAGCACTATGTAACTTTTTTGGTTTGGGGTCCGTCACCTGCTTGTTTCTATGGATATGTCATTGCTCTGCCTGGAATGTTCCACAGCATAACATTAAACAGATCTGCCTTACATTTATTCAACTACAGGTGTTTTTTTTTGCTTAAAAATACATAGAAAAACAGGCATTCTGACTGTGAGCGGGGTTGCCTCTCCACAGATCTGACCTGTAATTTGGTTTGATTTGGTCTCCATGAAGACATTCCAGATTAAGCAATGACATCTCCATGAAGAAAAGCATTTGTTGGACCCTCCACCAGAAAAGTTACACAATACACCTTTATTTGATACTTTGCAGCTGATGTCATCCACTTTCTTTGGGGTTGTGATGCTAACTGTAGGCACTGTTCTGTTTGAGACTTTGTTAGACTTTAATTAGACTTTTATTTTAATGTAATCTCACCAAAAAGTACCATCTTAGTTAGAATTATAACAATTATAACAGGTGTAAAGATAACATTAGCCAGCAGTTTTTCAGTTAGTCACTCTCACCTTTTTGTTGAAAATCAAACACCTAAACAAGACCATGAAATCCATTTTGTATTTTTTCTTGAGTTTCCAGACGATCTTAAAATTTATTTGGCTGTAAAATTTAGCAAACTTAATGTGTGCAGTGTCTCCATGGTAACTGTTTAACATTCCACCATAGAGATACATGTAGAACTCCACCAGCGTAATGTCACTGCAAAGTATCAATCGGAAACAATGGGTGCGTTCACACTTGTCTTGTTTTGATCCTGGTTTGAACCCAGTTTTGTCCTAATGCAGACTTGACTGGTCCTCAACAAGTCCTGGTTTATTCCTAGTTAAGTCCAGGTTAAGTCCTGGTTTTGTCCTGGTTTAGTCCTAGTTTAGTCCTGGTTTAGTCCTAGTTTAGTCGTTTAGTCCTGGTTTCATCCTGGTTTAGTCCTGATTTAGTCCTGGTTTAATCCTGGTTTAGTCCTGGTTTAGTCCTTGTTTTGAAAGAGAAAGTGTGAACCCACCCAAACACAAGAAGCATATAAACCTACTACAAAATGAGCACTTTAACCTGACTGACATTTTGACACTCTATTCAAGTAGAAGTACAAAGTATTGGTCCACGAAATTACTCAAGTAGGAGTTATCTATAAATAAGCATTTGGAAAACACATCTCATGAACACAGACAGGGTTTAAATGTATTGCTCCAAAATGATACTATCGACATCCATTCGAAATCCTAAGTGCTCCTTCATTTCTTTGAGCAGTCCATCCATTATTCAAGAGCTCTTTTATTTCAGCCTGACAACGCCGTTTGAGTGGCATATGTTATATACCTGCTTCAGTTGATTGAGGTTCTGAGCTTTATTGTGCAAAAATGTACATAGATATATTCTTCATATTTACGTGAAAAGTATTTTAGGAGTGGTTTCACTAGTGTACTTAGTGGAACACTGAGGAGTTTTGTATGTACATAGTTTATTACAGTATATATGTGTGTGTAGTATGCCTGGTATGTTGCATCAGAGTACTTTAAAGGTGCACTATGGGATTTAGTTCAGGTCGGTTTGAAGGTGCATTGTGTAATTTTTCTGGTGAAGGGTTTGTCAAAAGGTTTTTTTTCCATGGAGGTGTTCTTGCTTTGTCTGGAATGTTTCACAGTATGGTATTAAACTTTTCTATCGTCATGGAGACCAAACCAGACCAAGTTACAGATCAGATCTTGGAAAGGCAACCCCACTCACAGACAGAGACAGAGTGCCTGTTTTTCGCAGTATTTTTGAGCTATAAAACCACCTGTATACATGTCCACGAAGAAAAGCATTCGATGGACCCTCCAACAGAGAAGTTACACAATGCACGTGCACTGTGCAGTATTTCTGTTGGCGGGTTCGTCAGCTGCTTGCCCCCATGGAAATGTTATTGCTTTGTCTAGAATGTTCCACAGTATGAATCGGGTCCCCAACCTGTAGCTCGGGAGCTACCAGTAGCTCTCCGCCCCCTTCAAAGTGGCTCATCAAGGGATATCTGAATCCTTTACTTATTTAGCACAATACACAGGATTCAGTGTATTGTGCTAAATAAGTAAAATTTGAGTAATTGTACATATATCATTTTGATGCCTAACTATGCACTAAAAATAGATAATGTTTTATGTTTTATAGTCATGTTCCTCATCTAAGGCTTATATGTACTATGTAAATTTTGCCACCGCTAAAATGAGTAGCTCACTGGATTTTTGGTTTTGTGAAGGTAGCTCACTGGAGGAAAAAGGTTGGAGACCCCTGGTATAGATTAAACCTATCTATCTCAGGGGAGACAACTATAGGCTACATTACAGGTCAGATCTGTGGAGAGTCACTGCTTTTCACAGAGATAATTATTGTATTTTTGAGCAATAGAAACACTCATAATGAATAAATGCTAGATGAATATGTTTAATGTCATACCATGGAACATTCCCGACAAAGCAATAACATCTCTATGGAGAAAAGCATTTGACAGACCCTCCAGCAGAAGAGTTACACAATGCCCCTTTAAACTATAGGTTCACACATGCTACATCTGATTGACCTTGTGGCATCACCTGTTTGTTAAAGCTATAATGTGGAATAAGTAATCTCCAAATTAAAGTATCATAGTGCACCTTTAATCTGTGTGTATGTGTTGCCTGAGTGACTGTGTGAGGGAAAGAGTGAGTGAGTGGGCTTTCGGTGGATGCAGTCTGTTTGTGTATGCCCACTGTGCCAGCCTAACAACCAGCGGGCAGAGGAGCAATAACACTGAGGGGCAAAACACGCAGAGGAAATAAGGCTTGGGTAGCACTTGGCACCGGTCACCTTGGCATTGGACACCTTGGTTCTGGGCATGTTGGGTGCCAGGCTGGTGCCACTGGATGGGGCTCTGGGGGTTTGCGTGATGCAGAGGGTTACAGAGCTGTGCCCGCTGGTTTGTATAAGTGGTAACATGGTGCCACCACAAGTTTGCCAAACGGAGAGATTTCGCACTACCTGCTTTTGCCTTTTATTACTCCAGATCACTAAAATATGAACTCTGCAGAGATGACAAATGTAATGCAAATATAAGCACTTATTTGTGTTTGTAAAGAACTCTTGTTTCAACTATGAGTGGAAAAAATGCCTTAAAATTCATTTCACTTTTAGTATGATTTTTTAAGGGAATACATGTAGCTGTGTCTTACAATAGGCTAATGCAAAATACCTTTAAGGACGCTTATTATGCCGTTTTCTGATCTATGGTATAATGTTGTTTTCATCACAAACATACCTGGAGTTGTGTTTTCTCATTCACACAAGTTTAGGTTATTTTTTAAACAGAAAACACTCTTCCACCTTGTGATGTCATACAGAAGATGCTGCAGTGTGTTTTTAAACTCCAAACACCTTCATTAGAATCATTTGAAACATTTCAGTCCTAGAATTGTCAATCTCTAGCCAGGCTGGCGCCACCTAGTGTCCCCACTCCATTTCATTTCTCTCCTGCAACTAGTTCAGGAATCAGAATACAATAGATGGTTTGCAAGAACCCCAGATGTTGTAGACCACGTACCAGCCAATCAGCAAAGAGCTGTGAAGCCATGATGTCAAACTCAAGCGTCTGTCTGGGTCCCTTTTGTGGTACAGGACAACAGTAAACAAAGTGGTCGAGATGGATGTAGACGAAGCCAGACATTCTGTGTTGGCAACGATTCCTGAGATCGAGGATTTAAAGCCAGAACAAAGAGAATGTTTGGTGAATTTTATCAAGGGGAAAGACGTTACTGCCCTTCATTACTGTGGGATTTTGCACATTACATACGTCATGACCAAATAGCAGCGATTGGTTAAATGAAAAAAAGTATCCAGCTACCGTCGAGTGAACAAATTCTAATGTTGCCAGGTCAGATGGTTTCCACAAAGTGAAACCAGATGACGAATCAGGCTAGTCAATCTCTACTGAACAAGTACTATTTTGCACTAGATGTAGACAGACTAATAATAAAGAATTGCTCAAACGTGTGGAGGAAACAAAACAGCTCCAGGTATGTTTTTGATGACGTAACAACATTCTAACATGGCTTAAAGCTCACAAGACTCAATTTTGCGCAATATAGGACCTTTAATAAGAATCTGCTTGTTTGATTCCTTACTGTTGACAATCATTATACATGGATAGTTACTGCATAATTGGCACATTTGAGATCAACTCTTCTGTATTAGCTTTGTTCTTAGTCATGATTCACAGCAAAGTTTTACATGTTCACTTTTATAAAAACACATTTTCTATTGAAACAAAGTGTATATTTTTTACCTGTATCTTCAAATGATTGTAGGCTGAAGACCAAAAATTGTAATGTCAAATAAACTTCTATGAACACAATCGTCCAAATGCATTCAACTTATTTTCTAGACTTCCTTGCAGCTTTACGTGAGGGAAGTTGTGGCTTAGTGGTTTGTGTGTGCCAACAAACACAAAGGTTGGAAGTTCGCTTCTTGCTCCATTATATGTTCTTTTTCATTGCAAATAAAATGCATTCTTAAGTTGAGTGCACTCTCCTCTTCTGATCTGACCTGTAACTTGGCATGGTGCTGTCATCTGCTTGTCTCTTTAATACTACTACTACTACTGTGGAACTTTCCAGGCAAAATGGTCACATCCCCATGGAGACTAGCAGGTAGTGGACTCTACTATGACGTTACATGTTGTGCACATTTAAAAAGCCTATATTGCACTATTTTCCTCACCACAAATATACATATATAGAGTTGTGTTTTGTTTAATTCACACGTGTTTAACACACAAATCCTGCATTTTTCATTCTTCTCTCCAACAGAAAACACTCCTGGCACCTTGTGATGTGATGAGGTAATATAGGGAGTGCTCCATGATGTTTTTAAAGTACATACACCTTCAATAATTTGTATTATATCTGCCCTGGAATTGCTGATGTTTACAGAACAAAAGCTAAAATAGCTATTAACTTAAAAACTACCATTCCATGACATCACAAAGAAGAATAGAGCATTTTGGACTTTGAAGATGACTTAAAGCAGGATTACTCAAATATGTGAATGAAGCAAAACACAACTCTGGGTATATTTTTGAGGAGGTAACACCGTTATAACATGGCTTAGAGCGCACAAAAGTACAATATGGTCCACTTTAAGCTTGTGAAAAGTTGAGTGTGACTCGCTCCACAGCTCTCAGCAGCACTTCGGGGACAGTGCTGAGTGATTTCATCTGAATGTAACCATGACAAATGTAGTGTACAAGATGCCCTGGCCTATCTATCATATTAAAGGGCTCTGCGGGGGATACAGTAATACACTAGTGTTGAGGCAATGCAGGCTTAGGGACAGGCGTGTGATGGCAGGACACACACTAAAATTGGAGGGGAGTGGTGTTATGGTAAATTGTTACTCAATCTTGCTCCTGCTCCTGTCTATAGAGCTTTAGTCAGAGTGGTAAAATGATCCATGATGTGTCATTGTTCCCCTAACCCCATCCCCCATTTTGGCTCAGTGGGCCCTGTTTTGCTGTCCATGCATGATCCAATACTGCTTACTCACCACAATGTCCCAACAGTGTCCCCCCTGTTCTTGCGAGGAATATTCCGATCATTATAATCTCCTTGCCATTAATCAGAATTATGTTTATTCTACAGACGAGAGCGTACGTTGTTGGCTGAAGATCTTACATGAGTTAAAAATGAAGTACAGTAAGTTGTGTAACCTAATGATGCAATATGGGACATCTGTTTTTCATTGTTGGTTTCAAATT